CTTCTGTCCTGCTCGTAAATCCGTGTCAAGAACTATTCAAGAACAAGCTGGTGACGCGCGCGTTCGTGATAATTGGTGGGTCAACACGTAACACTAAAGTTCGGAATGAACACGACAACAGATGTGATTGAGACAAGTACCGTGGACGATGTAGATAGCGATACGGAATAAAAAGAGACAGATGCACAAAAATCATAATATGAGAGAAACTCGGAAACCAGGGAAACGATAGCAATACGAGATAAACAGAGAGATGCATGTGGGAATATGTACGGGTATCGTAAACGCGATGGATATGATAATGCGCTATGTAGCAGCAAAGTGACAGGGAAAATAAGACATGTGATGAGGATGAATGGTGAGAAGATGCAGAGATAGATGAGACAGTGAAAAAGAAAAAAAGAAATATCGAAAAACTCCCGGTTCTCATAACACATGGATTTGATGAGCACATCGTCTCGCCTCAGCTCGTCAAAGTTGATGCCCCATTCAATCTCCGGCTGGAAAAGTCGGCGGCGTAAGCTAATCGTCGTTTCTTCCAGAGAGTCGTTGGGATCCAAGGGCGTAGTAACCTGGCGAGTCATTTAGCCAAAGACCAAGAGCCAAGTGATGACAATAGCCATACCGGAATCGGATTGAATTTGTAGCCAGTGAGAAAAGCCGAGTCTTCGTTAAATCCATCGAGGGCGTAGGTCGGTTGGGCGTACTGCTTGAAGGACGAGTCAGACGAGAAACAAAGAATAAGCCAACACTGCACATACCTGATTCGAGGGACCAGCGACAGCCATAGAACGCATAACCATTGAATGCGGTCGTCTGGGTCGGCCATTGCTAAAAGGATTAATTAGACGAGGACAAAGAGGCGAACAAAGCACATACCTGTAACGACGCGTCAACAGAAGCCTGCGGTGCGAGAATGTCTGGCGATTGAACGTGTTCATGCTCATTGAGCGGGGGCGAGGGCCTAGACGACTCGGGATATTGCGGTGGTGCAGCCACCAATGAGCTCTAGATTTGGAATGTGAATGGATAGTCCGTCAGCGCCGCGGCGGCTGTGTTTCGGGAGGGGATACACTCGCAGGTTCGCGACGTCAAGGACTTGGAACTCTCCATCTTGCGCTTCTTGGCCGCGCACTGTTTCGCCGAAAGATGATTGTAACCCGGAGGGGCTTTTGCGTGTCTCCGCTTCGTTTCCTGCTGCATTTCCTGCCAAGGACAGCCGGAAAGTTGAAGTCGCGTTGTTCATCATGCGCGTCTCTTGTCCACCGACGATGGTTCTGGACGGCCACGGCGTGAACAATCATCGAGCTAAGATCTTGCGTCAACGACCGCGGGGATGAGGCGACTATATAAAGGGGAGAAGAGGGAAATAAAGGAGGATGTGAGCGGATGGACGGTAGTGCTCGAGGGGACGTGTTTTCCGAATGTCGACGCCGAACGTGACGAGGGACGCTGTCTGCATATTGTACATGTCAACTCGAGTTGTAAGCTCGCCAGGATGTTTGCTGACCGAGTATTCAGCGAGGGCAACGTACATATATCCCAACTCAATGCTCATGTCATTTTACAGCAGTGTGTCCGGTATGTCGCCGTCCCGTGAGTGTCCTCGACATATCATGCGAGACGTTTGATACGCAGAAGGAATTGTTATATTGGCGGGCTCACAATGCCGGGGAAGAAAAATATTGATGAAGAGAGTCGGTGCAGCAGGTGTTTGCACGAGGTGAGGAGTCCGGTTGAAGGACAGCGAGGTTGGACAGAAGTGTTTCGAGAAATAAAGAGCGGGGACGTGGTAGAGGTGAATGAGCGGACGACTGGGATGCGTTGGACTCGCTGACGCTCGGGGAGAATCCGGGCATGCTGGTGGAACGGAGGATGACTCGAAAAAGTGACACATTATGTCAGCGTCTATATCTCTTGCTTTCGTCCACGATGGACGAATCCCTTTCGCAAGACCATACATCCCCCCAAGCTACCGAATCATCGCTCATAGCGAAGGTTCTGAATGTCGTCGTCCTTCTGCTGTTTAATATAGTCTTGCTGACGTTCGGCGTCGTCCTCGTTAATGACTGCCTCACCGTGGCGACAACACCAGCAGCTTTTGCGGTAATAGTACAGTGTATGATCCTGGTGCTTGCAACATGCTCTAAATGGCCCCCTCTTCTCCTTTATGGCCTGCATATGGTGTGTTTTTGTGGTGCGTAGTTTCATATTCGGTCTGCCTCCTGTTCTGAATGTGATCCCTAGGTCTACCGTGGTTCTTCCCTTGCAACACCAGACACGCTTGGAACGTCGTTGTGATCCTGATGGTCAGCTCCCTTGTGTTCTATGGGGCGATTAGGATGCATCCGGGGGGATTGCGGTCTATGGGTATGTTTTTGTTATCAGTGCCTATACCAACTCAACCCGCCTAAGGTCATTGGGTGACTGGTTTCGAGTCCTTGTTGCAGCATCTAGGGTCGACTATATCTGGCATAGTGTTGTCCCTCCGTCTCATGGTTGCCATTGTCGTCAAATCCCTTGGGCGCGTGCTCTATGGGCCTGACAACGAGTCACCTGGCTTGTCAGTCCCCAAGGATGAGGCCCAGGTGTTGTCGGATTCTGATGATCCCCCTCCAGTCAGTTGTTTTCTCTTTTGAAGATTCTGTCTTCTTTTTGTGTGCAGTTGGATGCTCAAGGGTGCTTCTGTAGAGCTACATGGATGCTGATTGTCCCGCTAGGTTGGTGTTCACAAAGATGTTGGCCAGCCGGGACACCAGCCAGAGCCCTCCGATGGCTAGGATGGTTTAGAGTAAGTTTTGTGATTAGATCTTTTGAGGGCACTACTCAAATTCCCCCCCGCAGCTTGTCGAACAAATATTTTTATTTGCAGCTTTTCTCGTTCAATTGTACTCTACATCATCGCATGGACCTGGACTTGTTAGAATGTTAGATATCACTGTATGTATAGTATAGTAATCCTCATACTTGTCTGAATTGTATCCGCTGTTGTAATTTCTATGGTGTAGCGTGACGGTGACAGCACACGTTGCAGGACAATCTCAGCCAGCAACGACGATGATCTCAAAGTCGACAACAGCGGCGCCGGTGAGGTCAATTTCCACACTTTTTTTGGCGGCAGCAGTCAACCGAAGGTCGGCTTGTCGTCACAGGCAAAGCCGCCACCACTTGAAAGGCTGCAGCAGAAGGCGAATGGAGTTGAGAGGACGATATGCCGCCAAAGAAAAAGATAGCGGGCGAGCAGAATCATCGGCATCAGTGCGTATATTACTACAGTGGTCCGAATACTATTGATATATCTTCAGGCAATGATGACGACTATGCGCCATCTCCAACGAGACAACGGTCAAGAGTTTAAAGGCGGTGCTCGTGTCTAGCGACGAGGACGAGCTGGCGTTGAAGAGGATCAAGCCACGCCCACAGGGTACTCCCTGCGTATTAAGCTAAAGCCGAGTTGTAGATGATGCCAGACCTGCTCCTAAACACAAGAAACCGGTTGCGAGACGACACAGCATCACCCACGCCCAAGAAGCAATTGATACCTGCTAAACAGTCAGCCAAAACTGGAGCGAAACCTAGAAAGTCTGCTTCGTCCAAGAAGAAGGACACAATATACAGTGTTGCCTCGGACGACGATAATGATCTTGCCAGACTGCCCTATGAATGCTTGAGAACCAGTCGATGTTTTACCTGGAACAAACTGTCCCGCTCGCTTCAAACAAAATACATCGACGCACACCCAAATCAGCCACCTGCACTCTCCATTCTCTCAACATAAAACTCACCTGTCGCAGCAGCAGAGTTGACGTCTTTCAATGTATCTCTCCTCACGGCTTCGTTCACTCTGACAAGTATCAATGCCACCAGAACGACGGGGTCGAGGCTTCCTTCCCAGCAGCCAGAGGCAGCGACATCTAGTGGGGTTTGGGTAGATGTCCATTTGTGGTTTGTTGTGCTTGGAGTGATTGTGTCAGAAGTATACCATGTGAGTTTGTTACGTGTTCATGTCGTGAAAGCAGACACTTATGCATGGTTACAGTTAGTAATACTATGTATACTCTGAATTGAATACATCTTGTTAGCCTCTCTCTGCATTCATCAGATTGGGTTCTTATGAAGGTCTATGTTCCATCGTTGAATGCTACGTCACGGGGAATAGAAAGTGCTGCTTATAATGGTATGTCCATATTGAAAGGTCAATGCAAAAATCGAGGCTCGTGATGCCTATATAGTAGGTGGAGATTGCTGCATTAGTAGCATCGGTTCCTTTTGTCACCATGACCAAGCAGCTATCAATGCTTATTGCTAAATGGTTTGCAATTATTGTTGATCTTACTCGCGCGCAACTAGCGGTAGCTATTGAACCACCATTGATGGTGTCCAGACTTCGAGCGCGCCGTTGAGGTATGCAAATGTCGAGTTTTCTGCTAGTGGGGTCTGATGTTCTCCGTTAGAACTGCTCGGACGCGACCTTGAGCTTTTGTACAGAGGAGTTTGTTGATAGCCTCATCAAGTGTGTAGATAGTCCTGATTATCTTGACGTTCAAACCCATTTCCGGGGTACGTACTTTGTTTAGCGCGCTTGAACATGCTGATGATCTACATTACTAGGGTTGCAGCAATATTGTCATCGCTATGGAAAACCTATTTCGCTTCCAGGCGCGATAGAGTTGCAGAAACCGACTTCGAGTTGTGAACGGTTTCTTTGTATGATGTTACGGCTTGAATAAGTAGCATGCTGTGACGGTTTTTTATCTTTGAACCTCGAATTAGGACAACTTCACTTAGATGAATAGGATAATTCACCGATTTGAGATTGCTGCGTGGTCATTAGACGCAAGCGCTCTGAGAATCATGCCATTTGCAATCCAGTAGGAAGACTACGTAGAGCCTGAACCTGTCAACTTCTCACTGCTCAAGTTTCCACGGGTTCATCTGACGTGTATCTATCTTGATTTTCTGTGTGTGGCGTAAAAAAAAGAGGACAAAATCATTTCCATTGCATTAAGGGGGAATCGAACCCCCGGCGGGTCAAATATTCTTCAAACACAATGGCAACGACCCAGGTTACCACTACCCTATTAATTCTGGGATGCGGCAGTGACAGTCTGATACATGACAGTTCTGACTCTCCTTTGAACCATCTGTAACCAGCAAGAAAAAAAAGGCCGTTAAACGAAATGTCGAATACCTACTATGACCACGAACTTTGCACTCTTGACTTATGTCAATCATCTAACACTTTTCATGTTTGATCCAAGAAAACATGTATATTGAGTGTACATATATGATATAGCAAAGCTCAGATCATGCACAAGGAAGGTGTCCATTGATTAATTGGTTTTCTGCTTCTGCTTGAAGTGGCTTCTCAGCCGACCCAGTAGTTGTTGCCCGTTTCGCTGGTTCCGAAGCCGTGGACTTCAAGTAGTTTGGTGGACCGTTACATGCTCCTCTGGCATTCAGCTCTTGGCGGCGCAGTGTAATCTCGGCTGCCGTCCCTCAACGCATGGCAGGAGGCGTGGATGGTTGCGTACAAGGACCAGACCGCGCTGGTCATACCCATCCCATGTGCCATTGAGAGATAGCCTGCATGGTGTATGAGCGACAGGACTTTGTGGAATAAAACACTATTGATCACGGGCGGTTTTGTTGGATTTGGGGAATAGATAAACAAGCCATAGTTTCGATAGAGGATAGATTGTTGTATGGGTCTTGGTATCGCTTATCGCCCACGTAGAGTATTTCGCTCTCTCCGAGTCCGCTGGGGTGATTCTTGACTGATATGTGTATTCACGCAGAGGAAAGTTCTGGTAAGGCGTTATATATAGATTTAAAGCGCATATCACAAGCGCACCAGGGTGAAGATGATGCGGTCTTCTAGCAAGGTAGAAGATGCATGGTTATGAGTACAATGAGTACAACGAGCGAGTAGACCTTTGAAGTCTCCTTGAGAAGGCAGTAAGGTCTAGTTTCCTTTTTTTGTAACATGTCGCTGCGGACTAGAAGAGGGGTGATATCAGCTGCCATTGACAGAGGGTTCATGGTCAACGTTAACATACGTTTTGTGCTGTTCAAGGCCGTTTCAGAGTAGTTCTTGAGATTGCCTTACTCGAGACCCAATGAACTTTCAAGGCTGTCACGATTCTGGCGATTCACGGTCAGTATTAATTTGCCAAATTCTGGTAGATGCACAAAAAATGACGGGGAATGCCTTCAAGGGTTGGATAAAAGTAAAGTCCATCACTTCAGACGAGATTGGATCCATGGTTAGCCCAAATTTTACCTATGAATTACGCCAAATCCGCCGACATTTTATTACCTTTGACCTCGAATCCGCGACTTTCCGCCTCCAAAATCGTGTTTTCAAAGTCTCTAAATCCGTCAAATTCACCGGAGTCCGAGGGAAGTTTCTCAGGGCCTGACAAGACCAATAAGGAGACTACGAAGAATGCTGCACACGGCGAGTCCGCTTGTGATATCGCCAAACATCAATGTGTTGCTTTGAGAGTCATATGATCCTCTGCAGCTGAAGACGGCCTCGAGGAACTTCAAGTGCAAGCCGGCGGTGACTAAGGCGACAGAGACCATTCAAGTGAGCCTGTGAATACTGAGACGATTGAATGGAAATAATCTGTACTTTGTATGTAAAGTAATGAATATTCCAAAGGAACTCCAAGAGACGTACCTCATCAGCACGTAGAAAAGAGGCGCTGAGAATAACGATTGAACAGTGTTCTTTACTGTGTTGGCTTGAGGCTGTATACCAGTGGAACATGTTTGGTAAAATCTATGTCCTACCCAGGTCCTAGGTGCCCCTATTTTCATGGGGCGAGTATGAGCTCGCCTGGAGCTTGCAAAACCCTACTGGAACGAACTGGACTATCCCGCTTGCTCGGCCAAAACCGTGTCGGCGCACCTGGATTGGAGCCTAAAATCTTGTTGCGCTCTCCATACTCTCAACAGAGAAATGGACTGACGAATATAATTAAATTTGGTGGCATATAATCATGAAATTTGACCGAGGAACATCTCTATGGACGCTCATTCGCGATATGGCCGGTTGCCATCTTTATATCCTTGTTCTTGCTACCTTTGTGTCTGCAGTGGCTGCTGCGGTCTTCTGGCTTAGAATTCAGCATCTACCAGTAGCAGGACGACTACTCGTATGATGATATGGGAAAAGACGCGGCAGACGACAATTGTTATGACGAGGAAGATGATTTCAAAGAGGATGATGATCATGGCAAGTCTGCGGACGATCTAGACAATTGTGAGGGAGATCAGGTATGCCCGGTTTCTCTTCTTATATCTCTATTTGACATGATGTGAACAGGGTATGACTGTGTTGATTCCAAGGTCTTTATCATCCTGAGGGGGGGGCACTGTTGTCTACCGTAACCGTCTCAGTTTCCGTCAATCCTTACCGGCAACAGCCTCCTGCACGTCCGTGGAAGCGGTTTGTCTTGTCAGTTGAAGCCCACACTGTTGTCGTCCACAACATTATTGTCGGTAGTATCATCTCCAAATATGTGAACAAACAGATACCACTAGGCATTGACGTTTTTTGATGTATCTCTCTTCACGGCTTCGTTGCCTACCTTCACAATGGGGTTGAAGCTACCTTTCCAGCAGCCAGAGTCCGCAATGTCTGACAATAACGCTGGGCTTTGGACGGGTTTGCTGTAAGGGGCGATATTGATTGTTCTTTTTATCTATGTGAGTTGCATGCGCGTTCAAAAAAAGACGCTGATGCACAAAAACAGCTCAATTGATGTACACTTGGACTTTGTGAATCGCTTTCAATATCAGATTGGGTTCTTATGTAGGTATAGGTTCCGGTGGCACCTTGTTGCCATCATCAAGCACTTGTCCTTATTGTGGGATTTTGTGGTGATGGCCTTAAGATGTGTTGTGATCGCGATTTCAACTGACAGATTCTATCTTCATTAGGTCTTCTTTTCCATTCTGTTTGGGACCGAATCCAACGGGGGTTGGAGTTTCAATCTTTGATGTCGGTCACCAGTACCGTTCAAATGGAGTTACGACTACGGTGCGCACCCCCCTGCACTCCTTCTAACGCGGGGACGGAGGGCGTGGCTTGGCGTGGTAGACGGAACACGTTCACGTGACATTGTGCTCCTCTATGCGGGAGGGCTAACATAGTATGCTGGACTATTTCAACCGGACCCCTGACGATCCTGGTCTTCCTTGTCTCATCTATGGGCTGACTATGTCTCTAGAGTTACGCTCTCCTAATGTACTCGGCTGACAGAGGCACATGTCTGGTTTGCCTCTAACCAGCTGGATGTTTCTTTGGTGGACAAATTGTCGTAGGTCTTGCTGGAACATGTAGCTCTGAATGTTACACTATGGCTTATAGATCGACTCAGTGTCAAGTTGATGATCAAAGCCTGAGTGGCTTTGTGCGTCAATGTGGCATAATTATTTGTGGTGCGAGATTGTAAGAAGTTTATTACTTCGTGCCCTAGAAACGTTAATACTAACATTGTACACTATTATCCAGGCCTTGAAGCAATTGAACGACCCCGCTTTGATGTTTTTCCTTCTACGATGAATTGCACGTGATCTTTTACCCAATAAGAGCGAGACGCGCTTTGTCTCTTGTTCACAGCCTACCACCATCGTCACTCATCACAAAAGGCAAACTTTCATCTATTTCAGTCATGGCACCACGGGCTCCTCGCATTGCAGCTCCTGAGCTTACAGAAGAGCTCAAGACAAGATATACGGTGTCGTTTGTGCATATCCCAAACAAAGACAATGTTCTGAAATTGCAGGAAACGAGAGCTGCCATTCAACCAAAGAAGAGGAAGGCCGGTGAAGAGGAGGAACATGTCGACTGTCCCTCCAACCAGTTTATGCTGTACAAGGCGTGAATGTCTGATCAATTGGCCACAACTCTCTGTGCAGAGCTCAAGGCCACATACGGCCCACTGTGGTTCAACATGTTTTCGAAGGTGGTCTCATACCATTGGAAGCGTTTGGGCACGGAGGCCGAGGCATTTTGGCAGGAAATGCAGGAGGAAACGAAGCGGAGACACGCAGAGGCCCATCCGGGTTACAAGTATCATCCGGCGAATCAGTGCGCGATTCAATGCTGATAGCATTGAGCGATGTGGTCCAGTTTCCGTTGAGACCAAATTCACTGAGAAGAAGCAGGTCAAAATTGTGCACAAAGAAAGGCGAAATACTGCTTACAATCCGGGATAGCTGTTGTGCATGGGACCATCTTTACCATGGACCGACTCGTTGTAGGTGATGTGCACCATGGCCTCTAGGTCAGCGGTGGGAGCAGTAAATGTTTCGCTCTTTTTCATCGCAGTGTTGAATGAATCCCAGCTCCAGTTATCAGCGCCATCTTGACCATCAAGGAGTGACTGCTCTCCGATACTACGTGTAATGTTGACTTTGGTGTTAGATGATGTCCATGTTCAATGGTCAAGAACGGACACTGCCAGAGTTTGAGCGATTGTTTGAGGAGAGCGGCTGGCGGCTGGAGAGTGTGAAGCGTCCTGATATGTCATATCAGTCTTTCATTGTTGCAGTTCCTTCAGATGTATCTATGAATTGAAAATGTGTTGTTCAAATCCGAGTCATTAGCATTGTGATTCGGTTAATGGAAATGTTAGATCCCTCGTGCCGCAGCGGTCCAATTTTAGCTGAGGAAGGATCAGCATTCTTGTGCGCCCATTGTCCACACGGAGGTAATGCTAGAGAAATTCAATGCGTCCACAACGTCCACAGACCGAATGCGGCAAAAGTGTCCAAATCGGGTAGCTGTGACTGGCATCCCATTGTGACACTTCGATCATCTGAACTTGTCCACAACAGTCACGACGCGAACAAAGAGACGCGTCGTCGCGGTATAAAAGCGTGAGCTCTCTGTCTCTTCGTTTCCTCATCACTTTCTCATCATGCCGACTTCCCGCCAGCATCGGACCGCGCCCGGGAGACTACTTTCGACACCGCGCAAAGGGACCAGGATGTCCCAACCAGGAGCTGCTACGCTCAAACTCGAGGATCAGCGCTTACATTGGAATGAGTCTAGTGCTGGGAACACCGTTCAA